TAATTTCTAATTCCTATGTGACACATTGGATGATCCTGGTAGTTGGGTAACAGCCTGAAGCAGTTCTGATGTTAGTAGTTCTGAAGCAGTTGGAGTGCCAAGCCGCAGTCTTCCACTTTGACACCACCACCCAATGTAACGATACCCAACGGTTTACGTACTTTGGTTGCCCTGGCAGACTCATCTTGGCGTAGTTGGTGTTTCATGTGCTTCCAACCAAGCAGAAGAAGTAGAAGACCAAGATGTTCTTTATTCTGGTTTGATTTTTATAGAAGTTGCTAAGTTGATACACAGGCCAGTATTAAGAAAGATCATAAGAGATCTGCATCTACCAGGACCTTCCTCTTTGGTCTGTGGATGTGGTGGTTTTCGCATATGGTTTCACAGGTGGGTGCCAAGGCACATAGGTCTGGTTTCAAAAGCCATTGAACGGAGGGTCCAGGTGCAGAGATCTACTGGAGCTGGAAACCTGGTCCCAACCAGAAACAAATGGATTATTCCGAGTTCCAGCCACTCTCTATGTGTGCTATGTACAGGATCTTAAATTGCCATAAAGGAACAACCATTTGTTTGTGGTTGTTCTGGTTTCCAGGTAAAAATCGGAGGTGTAATGTGTATTCAACTAGTGTGTTGCCAGCCAAGCCGAGGAAGAGAAGAATCTGCATCCAAATTGTCGTTATAGAACACTGGTAGAACGGGTATCTGATAGAACTGGTATCTGATAACTCAGATAACAACTCTGGATGATACTCAAGGAAGAGGTACACTCCCGATGTCAACTCACAGCTAGACCCTGACGTCCGTCCTGGTCCCATGGGTCCGACGATGTTCCTCAACCAACCAGGGGTGTACTCAGGTTCCATGGGATCGTCTTCCAGGGTGTATCTGATCACTCCACAGTTCCAGCAGAGGTGGGTCAGAACCCGAACCTTCGACTATCCTAGTTCGGTACCCCAGGTAGCTCGGGTCCTAGTTCAGGTCACTTAGCCTCTGGTTGAGTTTCATCAGATACCTCTTCCACTGCCACTGACCTCTTCGAGGCGGACTCCGGTGACGCGGACTCCGTGCCGAAGGCGGACGACGGTTGGTGCGGGGGGCGACGACTCGCTTCGCCTGATCCGCTGAGCCGAACAAGTGGTGAAAGAGATTTCCAGGGCGACTTGGTTGGTCTCATCAACGTCATTCAACTCCCAAGCACGCAAGTGTTTTCCTGGCAGAGTGGTGGTGGCCTCATTTGTTTGGAGGGTGGTGGTCCTTCTTTGTTTCAGGCGGGTCAAGTGTATGTGTTTAAAAAGATATTTTCATACTACTGAGGTGCCAATTCATGTCCAGGTGCATGCGGGAACGCCCGTACGGGAGCCGCCCTGGGGAACACTGGAATGGTAGAATCTTCAGTCACTGGTTCGATCCAAGGTGGCTACCCAACTCAGCGGAACTCGCCCGAGTGTTTGGGAGTGTTCGATGGCCCGGGCTGGTGTTTGGCCCGTGATATACGTTTGTTATCGTTTAGTAAAAAGAGGGGATGAAATACCTCCTCAAATGATCCACTAGGTACATGAACTGATTGATGTTCTCAGAAACACATCATCATTTGGTCTGGGAAGATACCCTTTTCACCAGTGAAAAGTCTGAGAGAAGAGAACTCGGAGATCTTAAAACATTTGGGATGATGATGCTCTTGAGCTCGGGGAGATCTCTGTAGGTGGGTTTTCTATTGGTGGGGTTACGACCTTCAAAAGGAAAAACACATGTTTGCTTGTTCTACAAGATCTTTGGGGGATCGGCTTTAGGTGGGGTTATGACCTTCATTAAAACAAGCTTGTTTGTTTGTTGATCCTTTGGGGGATCTCCTTTCTTTAAACGGTGGCAGTTGACCTAAGAGTCCGTAAGAGTCCGTAAGAGGCTTCACCACCCAAAGACCTAGACCTAAAATAAGGCACATGGTGCTTAGACGGTGAGAACAAGGTTCTTGAGTTCTTGACAGTGGTTTTGGGGCGCTCGGGAAAGGGGCATACTCCTGTTCCCAAACACTCCATGAGATTGCCATATATGCCGATCAGGCCAGGGCTGGTGGTGCCAGGGGGGTCTGGCTTGATCGGCAGTCCTATGGCAGTCCCATGGAGTGTTTGGGGTGGAACATGGGTCGATTTAGCATCCAATTTCCATCCCCCCAGGCTGCCGGCGCGAGCGCTTTGAGGCCCTTCCTGCCACCTCTCTCCGGCGGTGGAAGCGCATGGACCCGGCTCTGTGCTCTTCGGCCTATGGCAGTGCGAATCGATGCGAGTGAGGCGGGGTGCGGGAGGAACAGGGGGAAGAGCAGAGCAGGAGCAGAGCAGCAGAGCAGGGTGAGTTGATGAGGGTGAGTTGGTACCTGGAGAGTACAGAGTACAGAATCAATGAATGTCCCATGTCCCATGACGGAGGCTTCGCATGTTTGACAGTATTTGAAGGCATCCTTCCAGCGTCTGTAGGCGGACTGGAAATCTGATCAGGTGTTTGCACCCACAAAACTGTTGCTGTTTGCGGGCCCTGATGTTTATGTTTGAGTGTTTTCCCCTTGTAACGCTGCGCTTTGGACACAGGAACAATGACCATGTGAGACCATGTGAGACCCGGGGGGCTTTGGTTCGTGTGTGGTTCGTGCCCAAGTTGGATCTTGCAGGACCTCCAGGTACGGCACGAAGTGGTGATTCAGCTGGAATTGATCCAGTGCCGGGCTGAAGCCACGGAGCCCAGAGCATCCATGGGATTGAGACTCTCTTCCTGGGCCTCCATTGGTTTGGCAATCGCCTGAATCCCTTAGTAACACCGTTTTGGTTACTAAGGATTTTACCCTACGTCACACAAAACCAGGTCACACAAGTTTGACATTAAATGCTCTTGGAAGGCAGCTATTGCTCTCCCTTGTCAGGTTGCTCGGCCTCGGCCCTCCCGCCGCGGACGCGGCTGGGTCCTTCATTGCGTCCGACTCAGCTGCAGGGAATGAAGCTGAGTTGGAGAGCCCAGGCCAAGTTGTTGTTGATGTTTGGCTTCTCAACATCAAACTTGAGACTTTGGCATGTATTGTGATTCAACAAGATGCTGCGCTGCTGTAAATCAAAGCATGGACTACAAACGACGCCTCCAACTTGGAAGTCCTTTTTGCCTTTTCGTCAGCCCGGGCATTGACTTTGGATGCTCGTTCAACTGCTTATCGTTGATTCAGCTAGAAGTCAATCGACTCATCGAGTTTAGAACTTGCTAGTAGCTTCTTGTTACTAGGAGCAGAAGGAACCTATATAATAGGAATGGCCTCCAACCTAATAGCAATGGCCTCCACCGAGCATAAGTGTCTTTGTTACTAGTAGCTTCTTGTAGAAAACCAGTCGACTTGTGTGAAAGATTTGGAGACTCCGTTCAGAAAATCCATAGCACACGGAGAGACTCAGATCGGCTGTGGGCCACTCTTTGGCTTTGATTTGGAAGAATTGTCATAGAGAATGTCCCCCTAAGTCCCTCCAACTCAAGAAAGGGCAGATTCAAATCTTTTGGGCCTCAGGGGCCTCCCGTTCTCCAAGACCTGAAAGCACAGATGCCCAAGGAACGAGCCCCAATGGGGTCGTCATTTTGTTCCACCCGTCTCCCACGCCTGTACACAGTGGCCCGTCGTTTCTCCGCCTACCAGTGGCTCCCGTTCGAGGAAACGCGGTCTGAAGCTCTCCCTGCTGAAGTGGTGCTGCGGTCACCAAGCATGACCACGCAAGGGCCTAGACCGAGCCCTCTGGTTGGAGACCGAGGCGGAGGCGAACGAAGAAGCCGAACCTCCTTGGCGTCCCGGTTCGTTGGACATCCACGGCCTCCGCCTTCATCGCAGGCGTCGAAGGCTGTCAGAAGGCTTGGCCTCCGCGCAACTCGAGGGGAGACACCGACTGGCCGCGGTCGCCAGACTGGCGGCGTGGATTGATGATCCGAGTGACTTGCAGTCGCTATGGCGAAGCCGGATCTTCTCCATTGTTCCATGCTGACTGGTGCTTAGTAGGGAATAAGGGAATGAGCCCCCAATAGAGATTCTATTGGATCCATTCCCTCATTCCCTACTAAGCACCAGTCAGCATGTGTTTGCCCATTTTTCACCCCTCCACAGGATGAGAAAATATGCGCATATGCCTATGCGCATATGCGTGACTGCCCCAGATCGAGGTGGATGTGGCCCAGATCGGCACTGGTGGATCAGCTTAGCTGAGATCTGCCATTTTCAAGGCTCTTCATGGACCTGGTTTTGCTCAATTCAGGTGATTGAGTGATTTTCCGCAGCTGGGTGAGTCCTCCAGATCGCGCCGGGGATGGAGCTCAGCGGTGGATGGAGTTCGACTGGTCTACGATGGCTCCATGTTTTCATGTCCGGACATCTTCAAGATCGTGCTGCCCGACCCAGACCGCAAGACCGCAGGATTGCCTGACGAAATGGAACAAGGATGAAAAAGGATTCGACTGATCTCATGTGACTCACGTCCTTGCTAAAGTGCTTCCCCGAGAAAAACGGACTGAAAGCCACAAAGAAAACACTGGCGGCCACAGAAGCTGCACACCTTGCAGAGCCTTCTGAATGTCCGTTTCTGAAATCTTCAGCCCCCCCTGTACGCCTGTACCGGCCTTTGAGCACATGACAGTTTCCAGTCCAAGAGTCTTTCATGCAGTTCCGGTGGAAGTTCAGGGTCACCAGGTTCATTGTTGCTTAGACCCTGCGAAGTCATTCACATGAAGATGATTCTGCACAGCGACCTCTGACATTATTTGCCAACTCACATGGGTCCATATTCATGTTGTTTCTAAAGGAAAACAGGCTACAAAATGATTCACTTTTGCCATGGTTTGATCCACTGATCGTCGCAACTGGCTACAACTGGTCGCAACTGGCTACAAATGGTCCACTTTTCCTCATCATTCCAGTCCACACTCGTCCGACCCTTCGTCGTTCCTCGTTCCTCGGCCGAGCCGGGCTCGTCCTTCCTCGTCTCCAGGCCCCGAGCAGACGCGGTCGGTCGAGAGGCATCCGACGTCTCCAGGGTCGTCGGTCGAAACCTGTGAGTACGCCGTGGTGATGGAGCTGAAGTAAGAGTAGGAGCGGGCACAAATCAACCACACCATCTCTTCTCGCAAACTCCATCACTGCCAGAGTAAGAGTGGAGCGGGCTAGTGGTTCTCTGTAGAAGATCAGTGGTTCTCTGGCAGTGAACCACTCATCACTGCAAGAGCGGGTTTGGCAGTTAGAATATCACATTTCCTGTAGAATATTCCCTGTTTGCTGTGTCTCGCAGTCTAGCAGTTAGCACAATTCCCAAATGAAATGAATGTTGTTCACCAACGCACTAGGGTGTAAGGCCGCTAATTATTCTAGTGTTAAGTTGACAGGTCAATGGTTGTTTAGGACCTACCGGTTGTTGGTTTTGCTTTTTTTCTTGATTTTTGCGATCTTTCGGCCGCTTTCGGCTGCAGATGAGTGCGAAAGAAAGCACTGTTATTATATTGAACATAATAAGTCATGTTTACAAGAAACCCCTTGCTGCAAGTAGCCACTTGCTGCTCGTATCACAAAGAAGTCTCCCAAAATTAAAGAACTGAAGCGGGAAACCAACCCCTTGGCGAAAGCTGGACACCAAGGCCATAGAACTAGACGCTGGGAAGGCGCACAGCAGCACAGAGTGCTTCAGTGCTTCAAGTAGAAGAAAACCATAGAATAAGCCAAAAAGCAAACATTGTCCATCGAGTTCTTGTGATTCTCGGAATGGCTCGCACAAAAGCCGTTGCCACAAATTCAACTGATTGTCTCAAGAAGAGTTGATTAAAAAAAAACTGGATACGTATAGGACAGCACCCCACTTTGTTCACAGCTCTCTTGTCAATCCTGTGAACTTTTTTGGATCCACCAATACTCACCAATTCCACAAGTTTCTTGTGAATTGGTCAAGTTGGAGGTTTATGGGAATCATAGGAGTCGAACAAAAGCCATCGCCACATAACCCATGCTCCGGAATCTATGCCCCCCGCCAAGATGCTAGTTCCAGACGGTGTTTGGGGTGAATCCAAAAGTGGGGCCCATGATTTCGAGATATGTTCACCCCCATTCTTTTTGCTGGTAATGGAGGCTGGTAATGATTTGTAGCATCATAATTACAGGAGTATAATGATTCCAATCCCAGACACTCCATGGGACTGCCATATATGCCGATCAGTTGGGGTGGTTGCAAAGGGGTCGTATGTAAATATCGCAGCCCCACTAACAGTCCCATTCGTCGCCTCTGGGAATTGATCCCCCTGGCACCCACCCACACCTGGCGAAACGAAGGTGCGGTTCGGTGGGCCAGGAGGCCTAGGGCCTAGGGATCGATCGGCTTCTTCCAACCCCCTTCCCTTCGCATCTTCGCCCCCCCCCCGCCACTGACCGACGGCCCTGCGGCTTCCAGGTGCACCGGACGCTTCGTCGCACCGGGACGCGCGGGGCGGCGACGCTCAGCGCGTGCGTGTCGCTGGGCGTGGCGAGCCAGGCGTGGGGGTGACCGCGGTGGGAACGTGTCTTCTATTTCTTGGGGGTGGGGATGGGGGGTTCAAAAGGAATTGGCTTAAGGTCGTTTTGTTGGTGTTTTTCTTTTTCATGTTTTTCTTGTGGCACCCCTTGGAATTCATTTGAGAGATTCACAGGCAGGCTGTGACGAGACGGCAGATGTCATCAAGCCAACTCCATTAGAATCAGGTCTCCCTGTAGGGAATCACATGCGAAGTGGCAGCCCTATATAGGGGTGTCCCTAACATCGAATCCACGGCCCCAGACATCAAAACGAGAATGACTATGCCATGCCATGCCCATGGCCCTTTTCTTTCCTGGTTCGGAATATCATGTCAGCCGAGCTGAGCCCTGCGACTCCGGGTTCCGCTGCCTTCAGCTTCTGCCGTTCCTCTGAAACCAACCGCTCGGCTCCGCATGGATCGCCGCGCCGAGCGTTCGCGATCCCCACGGCGAGTGGCCTGGCCGCTGCGGGGGGCTGTTGAGGTTTGTGGTGTTGAATTTATTGGCATAGCAGGAGCAGTTTCAACCTCTTATTTTGTGTGTGCGTGTGTGGTTTTATTATACGTGTTGTTGTTGTCGTTGTTGTTGATGTTGTTAATGTTGTTGTTGTTAATGTTAATGTTGTTGTTGTTGATGTTAATGTTGTTGTTGTTGTTGTTGTTGTTGTTGTTGTTGTTGTTGTTGTTG